TGAAGCCAGTCAGAACTCTTTACAACCGATATGGCGCATGATGCTGCACACTCCTCCACCTTATAAAGTGGTGTCGTCCGTCCGATTTGATGAATGAATGAATGAATTATTGGTTGATTGATTAGTAGAATGAATTAATGAATGAATGAAAGCAAGATTAAATGAATGAATTATGGATTGATTAGTTGAATGAATAAATTAATGAATGAAAGAAAGACTAAGTTAATGAATTATGGATTGATTGACTCATTCAAAATATCAGTCACCAGCCATCCAACCAATCAACCAACCAACCAACCAACCAACTAACCAACCAACCAACCAACCAACCAACCAACTAACCAACCAACCAACTAACCAACCATCTAGCCAACCAACCAATCAACCAACCGACCAATCAACAAGCCAACCTACCAACCAACCGATCAATTGCAGTCATCCTTCTTGTACATAACAACGGATGATCTAGTGATGCAGATTGACGTTCAGATGTGTTCGAAGCATTTAAAGTGCGACGCATGTACCACCGACCCTTACTGTGGCTGGAACCTGAATGCCGCTCTCTGCATGCCTTATAAGGAGGGGTTGGTTCCTTCATTCCTTTATTCGTTCATTCTTTTATCTGTCTATTTATTTGTGATTCGTTTACTGATTGATTGATTGGATTGATTTGGTTGATTGATTGATTTATTGATTGATTCATTCAATCATTCATTCGTTCATACATTCTTTATTCATTCATTAATTCATCATTCATTCATTCATTCATTCATTCGTACAGTCTCCTGCAATCAATGGAAGATGAGAACAGTGATCTATGCGTTAAATCTTGCCAACGTAATTTAACATTATTATTATTATAATATTATTATAATTAATATATTATTATTATATTATTATTATTTTATTATTATTTATTATTATTACTATTGTTATTTATTTAGTTATCAATTTAACAGAGCAAAGTATGAAAACCCACGAAGCCACAGAAGACTCCAACCTTTATCTGGAGTGCAAGTCGGCGTGTAACATGCCCAACAATGTCAATAACAAGGTTGTTGTTGTTGTTGATGTTAATGATTTTGTTGTCATAGTTTTTGTTGTTGATAATGTTGTTGTTGTTGTTTTTGATGTTGTTGATGTTGATGATGTTGTTGTCATAGTTTTTGTTGTTGATAATGTTGTTGTTGTTGTTTTTGATGTTGTTGATGTTAATGTTAATGATGTTGTTGTCATAGTTGTTGTTGTTGATAATGTTGTGTTGTTGTTGATGTTAATGATGTTGTTGTCATAGTTGTTGTTGTTGATAATGTTGTTGTTGTTGTTGATAATGTTGTTGTTGTTGTTGATAATGTTGTTGTTGTTGGTGGTGTTGTTGTTTTTGATGTTGTTGTTGTTGATGTTAATGATGTTTTTGTCATAGTTGTTGTTATTGATAATGTTGTTGTTGTTGATGATGTTGTTATTGTTTTTGATGTTGTTGATGTTGATGTTAATGATGTTGTTGTCATTGTCGTTGTTGTTGATAATGTTGTTGTTGTTGTTATTGTTGAGGATGATGATGACCGTCTGTACGAGCCGATAATGAATGAGTTTGATTTAAATGGTATACTGTTTCCTATATATTATTTTATTTATCTATTCGTCTATTCATTCATTTCGATATCTATGTAATTAGGTCACGTGGCAGTTTATTGACAGCCAATCAGCGCGCTTGATTCGAAACGATAACGAGAATCAGGTCATAACGCAAGACCACGGTCTACTATTGGTCGAAGTTAAGCCGCATCATAATGGTGATGAATGAATGAATGAATAAATGAATGAATAAATGAATGAATGAATGAATGGTTGAGTGAATGTATGAATGAATGAATGAATGATTGAATGAATGATTGAATGAATGGGTGAATGAATGAATGAATGAATGAATGAATAAATGAATGAATGGATGGATGAGTGAATGAAGGATGGAATGAAGAAATGAATGAAATTTTTCAGGTACATATAGTTGTTCAGTTCAAAACGTACTGGTCGCGGGACACCATGTCGTCGTGAGATGTGAGTTTGTTGAATGAATGAATGAATGGATGAATGAATGAATGAATGGATGAATGAATGAGTAAATGAATAAACCAATTTATTTTAAAAGTTGTGTTACTTTCATTTTCTAAGGGATCTTTTGTGCCTGGCATGTAAATTCGCTAAATGTGATTTATTGAATTGAAAAAACTTAATAGCCCTAGCCTGTCATTCCATTGGATATTCAATAAACAAACTCATCATCTCACTGGCTGGAAAATTATTAACCCATCAATTCGTTGATTATTCTTTTAATCAACTAACAATTTGATTGTAGAAATAGTTGACTAACCTAAAAAAATTAACCAATCACAGCGGTTCAACCGGGTAACAGGGTCGACCAATCAAAGGAGAGCATTTGGAGGCGGGAATATCTGGCCTGGTGCAATGCTTATCAGAGATATGTACAAGAACATAA